GTTTTTGTATTATTTAATGGTTACCGTGTTATAGAATCAAAGAAGTGTAGGACCGGAAGGGAATTCGAGAGGTCATCTAGTTCTTTCCCCTGCACTCAAGGCAGGACTATGCAATAACTAGACCATCCCTGACAGATGTTTGTCTAACCTGCTCTTAAAAATCGCCAATGATGGAGATTCCAAAACCTCCCTAGGCAATTTGTTCCAGTGCTTAACCCTGACAGGAAACTTTTCCTAATGTCCAACCTAAACCTGCCTTGCTGCAATGTAAGCCCATTGCTTCTTGTCCTATCCTCAGAGGTTAACAAGAACAATTTTTCTCCCTTCTCCTTTTATATACTTGAAAACTGTTATCTGTCCCCCCTCAGTCTTTTCTTCTCCAGACTAAACAAACCCAATTCTTTCAATCTTCCCTCATAGGTCATGTTTTCTAGACCTTTAATCATTTTGTTGCTCTTCTCTGGACTTTCTCCAATTTGTCCACATCTTTCCTGAAATGTGGCATCCAGAACTGGACACAATACTCCAGTTGAGGCCTTATCAGCGCAGACTAGAGTGGAAGAATTACTCCTTGTGTCTTGCTTACAACTCTCCTGCTAATACATCCCAGAATGATGTTTGCTTTTTGTGCAACAGTGTTACACTGTTGACTCATATTTAGCTTGTGATCCACTATAACCCCCAGATCCATCTCCGCAGTACTCCTTTCTAGGCAGTCATTTCCTAGTTTGTATGTGTGCAATTGATTGTTCCTTTGTAAGTGGAGTACTTCACATTTTGTTCTTACTGAATTTCATCCTATTTACTTCAGACCATTTATCCGGTTTGTCAAGATCATTTTTAATTTTAATCCTATCCTCCAAAGCACTTACAACCCTTCCCAGATTGGTAGGATCTGCAAATGTTATAAGTGTGTTCTCTGTGCCATTATCTAAATCATTGATGAAGTTATTGAACAGAACCAGATCCAGGACTGACCCCTTCAGGACATTGATATGTCCTTCCAGCATGACTGTGAACCACTAATAACTACTCTCTGGGAACAGTTTTCCAACCAGTTATGCACCCATCTCATAGTAGCTCTATCGAGGCTGTATTTACCTAGTTTGTTTATGAGAAGGTCATGAAAGACAGTATCAAAAGCCTACTAAAGTCAAGATATACCACGTCTACCACTTCCCCCCATCCATAAAGCTTGTTACCCTGTCAAAGGAAGCTATTAGGTTGATTTGACACAATTTGTTCTTGACAAATCCATGCTGACTGCTATCACCTTATTATCTTCTAGATATTTGCAAATTGATTGCCTGGTTCTTTGCTCCTTTATCTTTCCGGGTACTGAAATTAATCTGACTGGTCTGTAATTCCCCTTTTTATAGATGGGCACTATATTTGTCATCTTCCAGTTCTCTAGAATCTCTCCTGTCTTCCATGAGTTTTTAAAGATAATCGGTAATAGCTCAGTTGTCTCCTCAGTCAGCTCCTTGAGTATTCTAGGATGTATTTCATCAGGCCCTGGCCACTTGAAGACATCTAACTTGCCTAAGTAATTTTTAACTTGTTCTTTCCCAATTTTAGCCTCTGAACCTACCTCATTTTCACTGGTATTCGCTATATTAGACGTCTAATTGTTACTAAACTTTTTGGTGAAAACTGAAACAAAAACGTCATTTAGCTCTTCTGCCATTTTCTGTTATTGTCTTTCCCACCTCATTGAGTAAAGGGCCTACCCTTTCCTTGGTCTTCCTCTTGCTTCTAATGTTTGTGTGGAAAGTTTTATTGTTACCCTTTATGTCTCTAACTAGTTTAATCTCATTTTGTGCACTGGCCTTTCTAATTTTGTCCCTACATACTTGTGTTATTTATTTATATTCATCCTTTGTAATTTGTCCTAGTTTTCACTTTATGCAAGACTCTTATTTTGAGTTTCAGATCACTGAAGATTTCCTGGGTAAGTCAGGGTGGTCTCTTGCCATACTTCCTATCTTTCCTACACAGTGGGATGGTTTGCCCTTGTGCCCTTAATAGTGTCTCTGAAAAGCTCCCAATTCTCTTGAACTGTTTTTCTCCTTGGACTTGCTTTCCATGGGATCTTACCTACCAACTCCCTGAGTTTGCTAAGTCTGCCTTCTTGAAATCCATTGTCTTTATCGTGCTGTTTTCCCTCCTACCTTTCCTTAGAATCATGAACTCTATTATTTCATGATTACCATGATCACGTTCACCCAAGCTGCCTTCAACTTTCAAATTCTCAACAAGTTCCTCCCTGTTTGTCAAAATCAAATCTAAACAGCATCTCCCCTGGTTGCTTTCTCCACTTTCTGAAAGAAAAAATTGTCTCCAATACATTCCAAGAACTTGTTGGATAATCTGTGCTTTGCTGTATTATTTTCCCAACAGATGTCTGGGTAGTTGAAGTCCCCCATCACCACCAAGTCCTGTGCTTTGGATGATTTTGTTAGCTGTTTAAAAAAAGCCTCATCCACCTCTTCTTCCTGGTTAGGTGGTCTGTAGTAGATCCCTACCATGACATCACCCTTGTTTTTTACCCCTTTTATCCTTACCCAGAGATAAGTCAACAAGTCTGTCTCCAATTTCCAACTCAGCCTCAATCCAAGTATATCCATCTTTGAATCACAAGGCAACACCTCCTCTTTTTTCCCCTGCCTGTCCTTCCTGAGCAAGCTGTACCCTTCTATATCAATATTCCAGTCATGCGTATTATCCCAACAAGTCTCTGCGATGCCAGCTATGTCATAGTTGTGTTTATTCACTAGCATTTCTAGTTCTTCCTGTTGATTCCCCATACTTCTTGCATTAGTGTACAGACCTCTAAGATACTGATTTGATTTCCCCTCTATGTTCCCTCTTGTCTCTCCCTTGTCCCTGCTATAATGGCCCATGCTCCCCCCCCAGATTTTGACCCTCCTCCGAGGTCTCCATGTTTTTGACTTACCTGTGGGTTTTTGTCTCCTGCCCCCATCAAACCTAGTTTAAAGTCCTCCTCCCTAGGTTAGCCAGTCTGTATCCAAAGATACTCTTCCCCTTCCTGGCTGCAAAGGATTGTGGGGTTGGGTGGGTTGTGGCAAAAAAACATGGATGGTTTTTAGCTCCAGGTGGAATAGGGTTAAAGGTCACTGGCCTAGGCTAAGCTATGAGCTCTTGGGCTGTATTTCCACCTCTGTCAGTGATTCTCTGTATGGCCCATGGGTATGTTGATTGGGGTCAGATTTTCAAAAAGTCTCCACACGGTCTCCATTTGCACTTTACAAACATGAATGAATTAATCCTCATGAGAACCCTGTGAGGGCGCTGAGTAATACCTGTGAAACCTCCAAGTGGGGGGTGCCAAAAATTGAAGCATACCAAAAAAAATCAGAGGCCACTTCTCCAAATGATGGTCCCTCTGACTTACCTAAGGTCATCGAACAAGTCAGAGACAGAGCAAGCACTGGAAATTGGCAGGAGAGGGCACGACTTCAGTAGGTTTCTTCTCCCTTGGCAGGTTTAACCCCATCAATGCTCTTCTTCCTTCACCACTCTCCTGAACCTGAGCGAGGGTTGAGGGGCTGGACTCAATGACCTTTCAAGGTCCCTTCCAGTTCTAGGAGATGGGATATCTCCATTAATTAAATAATAATAATTAATAAAATTAATTAATTAAATTAAAAGAAATGGAACTGCCTGCAGGGAGGTGCTTTGTTGCTGAGGTTACTAGCTGGGTGGTCAGAATCTTCACCTGCTTATGGGTTATAATATTAATGTGGTGTCTAGTGCAGAGAGGTCACTCTTGATGTGTTTGGTGCATAAGGGGCAGTGATGTTCCAACCTCTGTGATCAGCTGGTTGATGTGTGATGGCTCAGCATGTCATCTTTAGTAAGTCCTAATTTTAACATCAAAGAACCCACATGGCTCTTTGAGGGAAGGGGCCAACATCCATGTTTCTGACTGGCTCCAGAGGGGAAAGAGTCCCTTTCACGGATAAAAATGACTGTAGCAAGACTCATAGATTGCAGTACATTATTTGATCTCTTTGGAGATAAATAGCATAAGTAGAAAGCGGAGTAGAGACACGTTGTCGGATGGGATGTATGTTAATCATCTGCAACACAGTCAGCTTGGTAGGCCGGGTGTTCCACCAATCTGGGCACGCTCTATCTTTGAGATAAGGAAAATATTGATTTACAAAGACCCACCTGTCAGTGATGAAAATCTATTTTGTTTCTTGCAGGTTTCTGCTACCCTGGCTGCATACTCGCTATCAAATTCCCCCAAGGGAGAGAAAGCAAGCAAACGCCTTAGAGTTATCTACGAAATTCACAAAAAGTCACTTCTTTGTAAATTATTATGTGCCAGGAAAACATCAAGAGAAATAGTCTCAAGAACACAGGCAAAGGAATCTGGGAGAAGGAATATGGGTCTTCAAAACAAATGCTGTAGTGCTATAGGCAGTAAATCTCATTAACGGGACTTTGTGTCAAGGCAGAAACCAGTATAGTGACAATAATAATCCCATTTATTTACATAGCGCCAAATATATCGTTGCCACTTTCCGATAAAACAAAGGCAGATTCCTCAATGGCAGAGGGCGGATCGAAGGACCCAATCAGTTTCTTCCATCCCTAACTTCTGTGAATCTCAGATAAATATACCACTTTGGAGAGAGGGGAGTGGGGGAATCTCCGATCTCCATTAGACACTCAGCTCCAAGTTAGAGACAACAAGCGTTTCCCCTTCAGGCCCCAGAGGAAGGAAATCAATGCATCTGCAGAGAAAGAAGAAGCCATTGAGTTGTTTTGAATGAAAATGTGATTGGGTTGTGGGGTTTTTTAGAGGATTGATCTAAAAGGAGAGTGAGGAGACAAGAAAGGGAGACAGAAGACATTGGCCTGCTGCTGTCTGACTGGCAGATTCCAGTTAACACCTTATCAGCAGAGCAGCAGGCAGCAGCAAATCCTCGCCCGCTGAAGCTACACAGCGAAAGGAAGAGGGGAGGGTGTTCTGTAACCAGGGACGACAACAGCAACACTCCACAGAGCTACCGGGAGGATAGAGAGAGAGACACACACACAATAACCTTCCTTCCCAGGCTGTGCAAGCAAGGGCAGGGGAGGAAAAACAAATCCACCTGCAGTGTTTCATTTTTTATGAAGAGAAACCATGACTGAAATGTAACCACAGCTCTGGTCGCTGTAAAAAAACCGAACCCCAAAGCCCTCTCCCCAAGTGTAATGTAGCAATTCTGTTGGTTAGCGTTATTCTTCAATTGAAGAGTGGGGTAAACTCCTCCAGGACTGAAATCCCATCTCCCAGAAGGTGGGAGCACCACTAAAACAAAAGCAATTCTTCCCTCTCCCCCTTACTCCATTGCTGCTGCTGCTTTTGTGTTTTTTAAAGAAACATTGTTCTAGGAAGGAGAGGAGATTGGAAGAAGAACCCGAGGTGATTTTGAATTGTTTTTAAAGTCAAGGCAAGCCTTCGGATGACCCCTCAGTGAGAGAGGGGGAGTTACAAGGCAATATAGTGATTGATGTACTGAGTGATCTGGAGGAAGAGCTGCTGGGCAATAATGGGGAAATCCAACAGCAAGTTGAAGCCTGAAGTTGTGGAAGAGCTGACCAGGAAGACCTACTGTAAGTATTCTAACCCCCTTACAATCAGGCAACTTTCCGATCGCTCTCGTACTAGGGGTAGGGGTGGAGTAGGAGCCGGTCAAGATCAAAAGATGCCGTTGGTTTTCCGTATGGAGCCCTACTGCTCGCATTTGGGGGCTGCACATGTGCTGTTTGTGTCACAGGAATGCATGCCCCTGCAAAGGTTGAGGGGAGGGATGTGTAAGTGTGTCATGGTGTGCAGCATTCGCACGATCTGCTGCACTGATAAAGAAAGCAAAAGAAAAGGCAGGTATTTGAGGGGGTCATCACAGAAGGGAGAACCCCCGCTATCGTATCGTTATTCAGTGAGAAGCACCAGACAAACAAGTATTTCTTTCTAGAGAAGCTCAGCCTTGTGATTCAGACATCACGATGCACTGAAGTGTTGGCGAGGAGAGCAGAACACCCCCTTTTCCCCCAAACATCTCCCGTGGGGGGGTGTGAAAGGGAGGGACAGAAAAAACTGTTCAGTGGTAAACATTGCTGCAATCTTTGCTTTGCTGGAGAATTTGCACCGAGTTCTGAAATTCTTTCCCATCCCTCTCACCCCCTGGTGTCTTGGTTTATTTTTAGTTCCGAGCATTGGGTTTTGTAGAACATTGACAGTTTCTTAATCATTCCCCTAATGGAGTGCTCAAGCGCTGCTGTGCTCGGTTGCAAGAATTCAGAGGAGGTTAGCCTGGAAAGAGAGGAATATAGACAGTGATTTATTGGTGTGGGGGTGGGAGGGACAGGAGCCAGGGGAACACCCCATCCCATTAAAAAACTTTCCCCTCTAGCTTTAAGCAACCAATAACTCACAGTCAAGGAATGTCCCCCTCCCCCATATGACATATTTGCTAACTCGATGTGCACATTACCTGGATCCACAGTTTCCAGACCTTTATGGGGCTTCCTGACTCTAATCTGAAATGTCACCAATACATTGGTGCGCAGAGAGAACCCCATTTCAATTCTCCCCTCCTTGCCACCTCCACTTCAGAACCAAGAAGCATTTTTTAATGTAAGGTCTCTACCATTTGTAGCTTTCAAAGTTTGGGTTTATTAGGCAGAGGGATCTTCTCCGTGTTATGGAGCACAGTGAAGGGTCAGACACCCGAAAGCTCCTTCTTTTTCTCCAGGAATCTTAAATATCAGCCTAACAATCTGCTCTGTTAAATGGGTGGATTTTTCATTTGGATCGCTGATGTAATCTTATTAACACTGCAAGCTGCTGGATTGTTTTGCTTATTGAGATCAATTCTAAGGGTGTATTAAAGAAAAGCAGGAAGGTACAGCCAAGGCGGCTGTGTTCAAGTCTGCTTCTCTGCGCACAGGTTGGAGGTATTATTGTTGCATAGCTGGAGAGCGCTCGAAAGCTAACAGACCCAGGAGCTCTCTCTCCACTGTCACTGCTGCAGTCCCACGGCAGCACTTACCCAAAAAGGCAATAGATTAGGATGCAGCAGGTTCTCCCATAGGGAACAGAGCCACGCTGGTGCATTGCACAACTCCATCATTCAGTGCTGCTCTCTACATCCACTGGGCAGTCTGATGCATAGAGCACTGGAGCAAGTCATTAAAGGCTTCCAAGCCTGCACGCTGACTTTTGTCTGCCGTGACACAATCTCATCTCCATTTCTGTCCTTCAGAACAAACGGGGATGGTTCCGAGATGATCCGGCACCATCACAAACTTCCGGGCTGAGTGGTACCAGACACTGGGCTACCTTGACATCTTTTTTTGTCTCCTCTGTAGTTTCACTTTACACAGCAGTGGATCCCTCTAGGGAGAAATATGTGGCAGACAAAGGATCATGATATCCTATGTCTTGCCAACAATAGATGCTGAACAAGTATAATAGTATTGTGAAATTGTCATTCATACGGGGATGTTTCCATTGCTAGATGGGGCCAACAAGGGGTCATTTGTTTTAAATCAGTCATTGCGTCACCACTATTCTTCTCTCCAGTTTTCTCTTCTGCATGCCCCCTCTTCTGCATGTGAACCTCCTCCCCCATCACAAAAAATCCCTCTACCTCTTGGCTTTGGTCAGTCTGCCCAGTGACAAGCACTATCAAAAACTATGGGCCACATTTCAGCTAGTTGCAAGCTGGTCTCTGATTTTACACATCTGCTGTTTCACACGCAGCTCACTGCAGCTTTTATTGTAGGTACTAAACTCACATTTGCACATGCAGATTGGGCAGCAAGGCGCACGCAGCCACCAACTGGATGTGTGCAGATGAAGTCCGGTTGCGTGTACAGGAGTGGGCATATAAAACATGCAGACCCAGACTCAGAATTTGATCCCATGGCCCAAATTCTCCTCTGATAAATGAATACGACCTCCTTGACTTCAGCAGAACTGCACCCGTGTAACTAGAATTTGACTCTGTTTGTCTAGTTCTCATCATTCCAGGCCTCACCTCTGGTGCTAAACATTTCAGCTTAAGTGTTCCTGCATCTTTGCCACAGTTGTCAAGAAGAGCGAGCACTTTCCTGTCTATCTAGGTACTTACATGGCCCTCATCCCCATCGTATTTGAGTGCCTCAGATTCTATCCTGAGATCCTTGGGAGTTAGAGAAGTGCTGTTATCCCCATTTACAGATGGAGAACGGAGGCACAAAGATGATAAAATGACTTTCCCAAGGTCACACACATAAACATAGTCTCTGCCTGAAGAGGGGATTGAACCCTGATCTCCTGAATTCAATGCCCTGTCTACTAGGCCCCCTTTCTTACCCTAGGGAAGTAACACTGGATACCTAGATCAGTCAGATGGTAAGCAGCTCCTCAAAGAGACTAAACCCTCCCTTCCATGCTGGGCTCAGCGTTACCTGGCCTAATTCCCTGCACCTTATCATTCCGTCTTACGCTGCTGCCCAGCATCACAGTATTGGAGCATCTCCCAGGTAAAATTAATAGCAAAAAGCAACCATGGTGGGATGTGAACCCACAACCTTTGCCTGAGCTCCTTGGTCATTACTGCAGAGAACTACTGGGCTAGCTGTTATGCTATAGAGCCCATCAGCTTTAGGTTTGTTCTGTTGATAAATTGGAACGTGTTCAGAGACGAGCCCTGAGACTGATTAAAGCATACCGTACAGAGAGAGACTCAAGACTTTATCTTACTTAGCTTAATAAAGAGAAGGTTACGGGGTGACTTTACATGGGGTACAAATATTTGATAATGAGCTCTTTAATCTATCTGACAAAGATATAACAAAATCCAGTGGCTGGAAGTTGAAGCTAAACAAATTCAGTCTGGAAATAAGGTGTACTTTTTTAACAGTGAGGGTAATTAATCATTGGAACAATTTACCAAAGGTCATGGTCGATTCTCCATCACTGGCGATTTTTAAATCAAGATTGGATGTTTTTCTAAAACTCATGCTGTAGTTCAAACAGGAATTATTTCGGGGAAGTTCTGTGGCCTGTGTGATACAGGGAATCAGAATAGATGATCACAATGGTCCTTCTGACCTTTGAATCTATGAAGCGTAGTGCATGGGCCAAGTCATATTGTGAATTGAGATACACATATAGATAGATATCCCCTGGCTGTATCTGTAACAGGCATCTGATAATAGATAACCAATCTTGACTGTGAGGTTATGATTCCATTGTGTAGTTCCCATGACATTGGGAACCATATATATGTAGTCTGAGTGCTATAGCACCAGACCCCAAGATGGAATTTCCTTCTGTTACATCATCATGTATTTGTGGGGGCTTTAAAAATAATCTTTTCGTTTTTGTTAATTTGAGCGACTGCTCGATAGAGCCCATCCTCCATTGCTCTACTGTACAAGGTTATCAGTACAGACACGTTCTGTAGATGCACATAACAATGTAAAGCTTGGCTGTGTCTCAGAAACCTTATGCTGCACTTTCCCTATTCAGAAAAAAGTTGTATTGGGCTATCTTGTTAAGAAGGCATATGGGGCAGAGCTATATCGCCCTCCCAGCAGAGGACTAGGAACCAGGACTCCTGGGTTCTACTGCCAGTTATACTACTGATTTACAGTATTAGAAGTCAGATTTTAAAGGTGTTTAGTTACCGACAGCTGCAGATAGACATCTAGTGAGATTTTCAACAGTAACAACCACCCATATCCTTAAAGGTATTGGGGCATCTAGCTCCATTGAAATCAGTGGAAGGCAAGTGCCTAATGCCTTTGAGGATCTAGATCTAGCTACTTCTCTGCATCTGTAAGCTCATTGCCTCCCTGAGAAGGGTCAGAGTGCAACCAGCCTGACTGGAGCCTAGATGAAATGTAAAGAGAGATCTAAGCTTTCTTGAGAGGCCAGGCTGTTGCCCCATAGGGGAATACAGCAGAAGCCAACAGTGAATAATAATAATAATAATTAATAA